AAAAAAAAAACCACCAAAAACGCAAAACAAGACCCTAGGGGAAGAAAAGCTGATTATACTCACAAAGCTTATCTTTGACAGCTCGTTAAAGCTGCTTCTCAGGTGCTGGTCAACTTCAGCCCCGAGCTGGGAGGTGTCTCAGGGTTGTTTAGGCCAATTCAGCAAGTTAAGACCTTTAAAACAAAGTCTCAACTCGCCGAATTTTTTGTGACTCCCAAAAACGGATGCAATCAATTTTTTTATGCCGTTTTGCAGAACGTGGGCAGAGTCCACTTGTGTTCGGGCACCACTTGTCACTGGTGGGGGTTTTTGGGGTCCCTTTGGGATCCCTGAGGCTGCTTCTGCAGCCCTCGGAGCAAATTCCTGTGCCTTGCCCAGATAGAATTGTGGCTCACAGTGAGCTCTCAGACCAGCAGGGAAAAGAAACCAGAATATGCAGAGAGGCACAAATCCATGGTTTAATCTATGAAGGCATCCTATCTAGCATATACCCACGGCTATTGTTTTACAGGGGTTTTTATATCTTTTGAGGGTTTTACAATTTGCACCAATTACCAAGGGAATTCTACTTTCTAACCAGTCCCTGAGGGATTTTACATTCAAAGCTGGCCTGTGGATACTAAAAGAGAATGAACCACTAATATTGAAGATAGATAAGAGGGTCTTCCAAGGGTGGGGGGGAAGCTGAATTCCTTTTGTATTCATCATTTCACAAGCTATTTCTTATCTCTAAGCTATGGTTTTCCAAGGAGCTTGTTCTGAGGATGCAGGGAAACTTTCTTCTCTGTTTTCTGCTCCGTCCACAATACTTTTGTCACTTCTTTGACTTATGAGGGTTTTTTTGGTTGGTTGAATATGAATGACAGACAGCAGTTAGATCCTGTTAGCAAACATCTTAAAGACTTTATTAAAAAGACGCTAGTGTTTGCATGTGGAACTAAGAGTCTGGCTTTATTGCTTTTCAGAAAATGGTCCCTACGTTTTCAAGCATTCCACAGTTACACAAATTGCTCATAAGCACTTCCAGAGCAGCCAATGACTTCACTGTGAAAAACAGTCCCAGCTACATAACCAAACACCAGCTCTGAAAGTCAATATTGAAGTTAGCAGCTCAACATAAATCAAAAATCTAGTCATTTAGAGAACACTTTTCACTGATTATTACCAAAATTCAGAGCAATTTCCATTTCACTGAGAGCATGTCAGTATCAGTTTTATGAAAGAGGCAGGAAAGTGAAGTTTCCATTGCTCCTAAGTATAGAGATTTTCATACCATTCTAAATGTTTCCCCCATGTGTGTTCAGATCAAAGATCAACCACCTCCAAACTATCTTGAACACAGTGTTGAGCAGGGTCAACCTAATGTAAGAACTTGGAATTCCCTATGAATTTCTGCTGTTTAGGCTCTAAATGGTAGTCCTTTCCACATTCAGATACTCTATTGAAAAAACAGTCTTGCTTTTCATCCCTGCCAGTAGAATTCTTCCAACACACTTGATAGAGCTGCTTATGCAAACACCAAGTAGGTACTGCAGTGAAAATCAGCTGGGTTAGTCTGGCAATTTTTAAAAATTAGGCCACCATGAAACTTATTAAATGTTCAATCCAAAACCTAAAGCTAACCTGTCATCTATCAGATCATTTAAATGTGCAAAGAATCAATATGGCTTTAAACAGTTTACAACACCAGACGTATGATTCAGAACCATTAGATGTATACATAGTAAAAAACCAATATGCACAAGTGTCATCATGTATTTACTCCAATTGAAAAAATTGCTCCAGCTCAGTTCAGGATGAGTTATGACCTATTAAAAGAGCCTGGAAACCCATTTTCACAGTCTTCCTAAGACTCTGAAGACAACAGTTCCAGCATTCTTCTGATGGCAAGAAATATTTCAAATTCAGGACTTCATCCAGAATCTGAGAGATTCCCTCCAAGATGTCCCCTATGGGGATGCCAGCATGCAAGTCTGTTGAAAAATATCAGCTGAATTAGTATGCTGAAGTCAGTCATTAGCTGCTTAACCTGGGTTAAAATCTGAAAAGGTTTTTCCAAAACAGCCTGACTTTGCCAAACCAGCAGCTGCTTTACTGCTTCCTCACAGTGACTATCACTGTGAGAAAATAAAAAGACCTTATTTTATATAGGCTTCAAGCTTTCAAGGAACAGCAAGTTCTAAGTGATGGTTGGACCTCCAGGGGTCCCACCCAACCCAAACTGTTCCACAAGGAGAAAAATTAGACAGAGACTTTGCCTACATAAGAACATGGAATTTTCTTAAGAGCAGGGTTACAAACCTGCTCTAGCAGAAGTATCATTCCAATTAGGACATACAGATAGGCATCTTCCCTAACATATTAAAACTAATGGAATAGCTGCATCAGCACTGCCATTTATGAATTCAACATTTATTCTTGTCATTCCTAAATTATGAATTTGAAAATGCAATTGCTGTAACAATCATTTCATTGTAGGAAAAACATCATATTTTGGCTGACCTCCAGCTGAGGTAGAACAATCAAATGTTTTGGATGATCAAGGGAAATAAGAGCCAAATTGACAAACAGAATCTAAGTGCTCTTGAACTGTGATAAATGTTACCAAATGCTAAGCAGAAGCCACATGTGACTGCAAGCAGCCAGGACCTGAAGTTTGTAGGAGCCACCATGGATTCTTTAAGAACACCTGAGTAAAAGAGACTGAATGCACATTCAACACAAACAGCTTTGCATGGAACACAGTAGCATTTCACTTTCTGTATGTTTGGACCAGATTTATAGTTTTGCATTCTATTAAATATACCAGAAGGGTTTCAAAAAGAAGTCTACTTTTTCTCCTTGCTCACCTGATTTCATAAGTCACCCTAACCCTTGATGTAGCATAATGCAGGAAATATATTCATAGGACTTCAAACTGAGAAGATGTTTTTTCATCAAGCCTTCCATCAGCTTTTCCTAATAATTGTTTAAACCACAGGAATTAGTGGGCATAGAAGAAAAGGGTATGACATACTGTTTTAAACAGCTGACAGATACTGGTTCCATTATTAGGACCTGGAAGAAGAGAATTAAAACAGTTGTTCCCTCCAGGCTACTCTCCCACCCCCAATAAAAGTGATTTAGACAAGGAGTGGAGGGGAAAAAAAAACAAGTGAGAAGGAAAAAAAAACATATAGGATGAATGAATACCTTTCTCCACAACTCTAACTCGGATTTCTCCTGGTTTGACAACAATGTCAGGTGGGTTCTTGACATCACAAATGTACGTGCCGTTGTCCCGGAACTGCATGTTTGATATAGTGATAGAAGCATCTTTCTTGTTAAGATCTCCAGCCCAAGTGATCCTGTCTTTAAATGGTATGTCCTTTCCAGGGTATGACTTCCCATTAGAGTAATAGAAAAACTGCAGTCAAGGAAGAGAGGATAGAAGAATAATCCAATTAGCAAGTATGAAGCCACCGTGCTTCTCTCACTATTGTAGCATTCTCCCAGAGGCAACTGTGTTATACACAGCCAGTGGCCGAGGTTTTTCTCCTCCTGCCTCACCACTTCAGTCTGCCTCGTTGGCTCTTGATAACATAACCATGCTTGTACCTCAACCATATCAGCACAACAAACTACAAGTTTCAGTTTTCTGTTGGTTTTGATTTGTTTTGTGGTTGGATTCATTGGGGGTTGTTTTCTGTTTTGCAGGGGATAGAGTTTTGCAGACAAGGAGGTGGGGAAAAGAGGAAAAAACCTGGTAACCTGGTCATAATTAAAGGACAGAACAGTCCTGGAACACAGCCATCTGTCACAGGAAACCACTTGCATCCTAGCAGAAAAAGGATACCAAGTTTCCCACCTTGTGTTTTGCTGTGTGTTACTTGCAACTAAAGCACAGCTAAATTAACATGCAACACTCTCCCTTCCTTCCACCCCCTCAGAAAATCCCATGACCAATTTAGAGTATATCTAGCTGTTTTCCAGAAACCTTCAGGTAACTAAATATAACTGTTTCCCAGTTTTTAAGTGACTAAGCTGCACATTGGCTTTGCACTCCCTATACACGATCAAAAATCTTTGAAGGATAATCCTCTTTAGTACAGATTAAGGAGGAACTGAGTATTTCCTAACTATACCTGCCCCAAAATTGGAATTTACAGCAGTAGAAGTGCACAGACTTCTATAGGAAAACTCTGCTTTCAAACACATGGGATACCCTAAGAGAGGCATCAAGGCTGCAGGAGAATTGCAAGAGCACAATCTTTCTTAATTGGTTTTCTTAACTGGATATCCTGCAAAACAGCAAGACAAACCTAATCAAGAATCAACGTGAATTCCTTTCAGCTCAGTCTCCAGAGAACAATGAAAGAAATTTAGGACAATATTCCAGCTTCCTCTTGCTCCTGCCTTATTTACAAAGCAGTGTCTCTGCCACAAAACAGACTGCCTGCAAGACAGTCATATTTCCATTCAAGTCACCTCCTATCCCTTTTCCTGCCCTTGATCTCAGGCTTGCTATTCCAACACCCTCTCTATCAGACCTGCACTCGGTATATCAGGTCTTATCACTTGGCAGCACAAATCTTGTCCACATCAGGTATGTGCACATCATGGCCATCTGTCCTGCTGCAGTCAATCTTACTTTTTGTCTACAAATTAACATAAATTCAACAAAGTATTTCATGTGGTAGAAAGCTAGCAAGCACATAGTCAGCTGTCAACATTTTGGAGGGACTCTTCATCAGTCTGCAGCTTTTCCAGCCTGACTGTAACCTTTAACACAACATCACTGCATTACCACAGCCCTTTGCACAGGGGAAGTCATCCCACTGGAAGTCTAGAAGGACAGAGGCAGATTCCTCCACTCTCTACATGTCCTCACCTGGGGGAGGAGAAATCACAAAGTAAAATATGTCCTGAAACACAACCTAAGTGAATCAAGCCATCCGTTGCCTACGGTGGAGTGAGATGAGACTTCTTTGGAACATGTGGCGAGGGAAGGGGACAAGCAGGGGAAGATCCCAATCAAGTCAGCCTCACCACATGGCCACAAGATTGCCAGTGTGGTTCTAAAGGGGCACAGGACCATCCTTGTCAAGAGAAGCATGGGCTTAGCTCAGACATAAGCTGATCATGAGATTGATCTTTCAAATTCACACCCAAGCAGCTATGCAATGCCATGACTCGGGCTCATAAATAAACATCTCCTCTACACCTTCCCCAGACCCTCAAAAGAAATAGGGAATTAACATCAAATTGTGCTGGGTCACTTCTGCTCAAAGATAATTTGCTTTTCTTTCAATTGTGCTGATAGCTACATCCAGGTGGAACATCTGAACTCACTTCAATTAAAAAAAAAATGTTATGTGCTGAAGCTGTATTCCTACAACTGAATAGTGACGCAGAAAGGGAATGGCAAAACAGGATATATGGGGAGCGGAAAACACACAAACAGATGGCTTCTCTTCACCCATCCTGTTCAACACTGGCAGGAAAATGCCCTACTTCCTTAAGCTTCTGCCCAGCTACTGCTTTGGATTCCCAATGAGAAGAATGCCCTCTTCAAAACTAAATGTTCATTTCACTGAGAATGCAGAAGCTTGTTCTTCAGAGCTCTATATACTGCAGATGCTCACATGCTGGTTTTGACCATCTCTGCCCTGAGCATTGAAGAGCTCCTAGAGTTTAAATGAGCTCACGTCTGCAGCAAAGGGAAGGAGACAAACACAAACAGGCTGAGCAACCTGCTGTCCCCACATCTTCAAAGCTGTCCCAGAGTTCCCTGTGCTGCTTCCTCTAAATTTCCACTACTCAGGATAAGGAACAAGAAAGAAGCAGAAATGTCTGAGGAAGAAGACAGCTATCAACCTACCAAAGCCATTTTTTTGAAGATTTACATCCAAAGGATCTGAGCCCACTTGGGCCCAACATACAGAAACTGAGCAATGACAAATATTACTTGCCTAAGTTCCTTGCTAGCCTGATTTTTCGCCTGTCAAGTAACTATGAGGATGTAAGTGCTTACTGATTTGAGCTGTTCAATTCTGTTCTGAAACCAGGGAGACTGGTCTTACTATAAATCCTTTCAAACAAAGGCTATATAAGCAAAGCACACAAGCGAAATAAACAACATGCACAATATTCAATGAAACACTGCAATTACAGTAGTGATTTAAATTCTGTGACTGCTATATTCAGTCAAATGCAAAAGGATGGAGTATTTACAAGGTTCCTAGATGGTCATCTACTTCATACATACAACTTCCATACCAACATCCCTCTCCTAAGACTAACAGAGTAACTAGTATTTTGTGGTCACTGCACACTACAGTCTTGCAGAGATCTAGCAGACTGCAATATTTTCCTACAACTCTAAAAAAAAGCCCTAAAATCACAGTGATGGAGATAAGGCACACGAAGGAGGGTCCAATCCATATTTGCTTGCACCTTAGAACCAACTATCCCAGCCTCCCCTCCCAGGTCTGTTCCCCTGCAGCCACTGCTTACTGAGATTCGAGTGGCTGCTCCCTCTGGTTGAAAGCTCCAGGAGACAGATGCTGCACTGCTGATCACTTCTACGGATGTGAACGTGCACGGGAGCTTTGCGTCCGTCCCGTTCTCCACAAACATCTCCTCCGGGGTGTTGACCTCTACTGCTGATACTTGGACTGCATGAGAAAGGCAAAGAGAAGAAAGGAGGAGAACAAGACACATCAGTGCTGCTGTGCTGCTTTGAGAATCAGGAAGTTCACATCACACTGCCTAGGGCAGAAGAGGCATCAATAACTCCTGCGTTGAGTGATTGCACAGACATTGCATTATACCTGCAATCAAACAAGTATAGAGCAGGCCAAGTATATATTCATTTCTCCTTCCTTGTATTATCTGTGACAGGATGTTTTCCACTCACAGATGTTTCCTCTACAACACTTTGTGGAAGTCAATTCTATGGTGCAAAGGATGAGTTTAAAACATTTTCGTACCAGTTGATAGCAGGCATTGTAATAATTAAGCCTCATCAGAGGAACTAACAACCTGACCCAGCCATTACTCAGTTTCCTCTCTAGCACACATCTTGTTTCAGATCTCCAGTTCCTCTTAGCTGTAAGTAAAACAAAAGCTCACGTCCAGAAAGCTGAGGAGAAAACTTCTCTCACTCCTAGCTATGCCATCTACTCCTGCTCTCTGCCATGCTCCAAGGTCTGTATGTGCGAGGCCTCACAAATAATCACTCCATTATAGTTTACAAGCATGAGAGTAGTTTAATTTTTTTTCTACCTTATGCACAGTCAAAGCAGCAAGACAACCACAGCCACCCTCCAAATTTAAAGTAATCAAGGTTAATATTGTGCTTGTACTGGTAGTTTTCCTAAAAAGTAAGTAAAATTCATCATGATTCAGAAAACGTGTTGAAGATATTCTTCACCTGGCACCTTCTAAATTGCCAATGCCCTCTCCCTATCCAGATTTAAGGAGATACATCTCTACATTCATTCAGGTTTATGTAAAAAAAGCATGATCTTGTGACACCACAAGAGAATGTCTGTCAGGGCTCATGTCACATCCACATGAAAGCAAAAATCTTGTCAAGTCAGTGTGAGTGGGTGCACACGTAACATGTGTTCCTGGTACCTCAAATATAAATTTTGATTTTTATTAAACCATTATTTTCAGCAATCTACTTCTGTTCATAGGATTTTATGTTGCTGGGCTCTGGTACCTTAAATCCCCTTGTTAGAACATGAGAGCAAACCTTCCTGCTCCAGCAATATCTCAGCTGATTTGTTTCTCACCTTTGAATAAAGTAGCTGAAGTAGGCAAACCAAACACAAAGATACGAGTCAAAGACTGTTTAGATAAAAAGGGAGAAAATAAAAACCCATCTACATTAGTCCTTAAATCGTGAGGTTTGAGATTTTAGTCAGTGAGAACAACCAGCTCAGCAGCTTTCAGAAGTTGGACAGCAAATATCTGGCAGAATGAGCATGCAAGCAGGGGTAGGAAAGCTGAGCACATCACAGTAATTGAAATAACCAAAACCAGAAGAAACCACCATTCATTAATTCTGCCGTTCAGAGTCAACGCTGTTCATTTCCAAAATTCACTAACTCCTCAGTCCCATCAGGTGATCTCTTGATACCTCAGATGCTCCTGTCATCACTGCTTTCATTTCCAAGAGAAAAAGCGCCCCAAGAGAGGTGGGGAGAAGGAGTGGTGAATTTTCATCAGGAGGTTCTATCAGAGCTTCCTTTCTCTTGTACATACTCTGACTATGGGCCAAAAAATATTCTTTTGTAGAAGAACTACCAAATATTTATTTGGAACATACAAAGACTTCTAGCAATCAAATTAAATGAACTGAGAGCTGCTGTGTGCTTTATGTATTTTTCCAGCAATGGTGTAGAAAAGAAAAATAAAATAATATCCATTGTATTAAGTCCAAACCACAGAACAAACCTCCCTTTCAAGCATAAAACAAGCAAGATGCCCTCAGTATTTGTGTAGGAAGAAAAGAGCCTGCACAGACATTGTCTGCTTGTACATGGTACAGAGAACTCCTTGCCACACACAGGCAGTGGGTAGCACACATCTGCCTAATCTAAAGAAGTCACTGTTCTAACTTACTAGAACTGTAGTGAAGCAAAAAAAAAAAAAAACCAAAAAAAACCTTCTCCCTACTTATTTCCTAGTCTGGGAAAGAAGGAACCATGTCATCCTGTACAGATATTTCTATCAAATTTAATTTTCATCTGTCCTATTGTTGGCTCCATTTCATGTTCTTCTTTGCTGATTTTCTCCCCTCTGCCTCCTTCACTGCTTCAAAAATATTTTTCTTGCTTCCGTTGCCTTACAGCATGAGACACAGGCTCCCTAAATCATAACCTGACCGGTAGAGAGGTCACAAGATTCATCAGTTGTTCACCCTCAGCCCTCTAATCCCATACTTTTACTGATATGGTGGCTGTTCCCACTACCTTGAACTCTTTGGCCTCCTCTGTCATAATAAAATCCACATGGATCATCTCCAGCTCTAGCTCTTTTCCTCCTCTTCCACATTTACCAGGATTACATCCACTTTCCAGCTCCTCCACCTATTAAATATTCCAGCTGGAGAAAGCTGAATTTTGAGTCATATTTCAGTCACACACACTGCTCTATTCCTCAAGCTTACTCAGCCTTAGATCCTCTCAAGAGGAAAAAATTATCACAGGAAACTGTCTGAGAGAAGAGTGCTTTAAGAAGGGAAGGTCCACAAGGTACACAGGGCAAAAATAAACATTTGCTCTTCTCCCATGCATCCTCTTTGATCCCATCACTCTGTCCAACTGCCCCAGTATTTCCTTCTGAAGATCTAATCTAATCTTCAGCTGCTTTTACTCTTTTCAGCAGAAAAATGGCTCTATTTTTCTCATCTGTCATCAAAATAATTTGAAAAACACCCCGCCTGCGCCTCTTCAGCCACTTCTTTTAAATCTCTAGTGTTGTTCGAGCAGTTTTACTCCAACTACAATAACTCCAGCTCCATTTTCAACCCCCACACTGCAATGAAAACTGTCCATCCACATCTTCCTTTCCAGACAATCCTCTTGCTCTTGAAATAGGACAAGACACTCATATTCTTACTAACTTACTAACCTTACTTACTAATCTTTTCTTATTTTTCCCATCATGGATCTTCATTCTTCATCAATGCTCTCTCTATTCTCAGGTCTCTCTTTCCTTGGTATCTCGCCTCAGAGATCTCATCTGCAAAACAAGTTCAAGCTCCCATCACTGCACTGACTACTCAGATCTGCATCTCTGCCCAGGATCTGTCTCCTTATGCTCAAAGAACAGCCTCAGTCTGACATCTTTGTCAATGCTACGTTGTCAGCTCACACTAAATGGGACTAAAGCAGAGCTCAGAGTCCTCCACAACTGCTTTTAGCACCATCGACCTGCCACATGTCTCTCCAAGTCAATACCTGTGCAGCATCTCTGACTTTGAACTCTTCCCAGGTCAGGGCAGAGTTTCCAGTCACCTGTTCAGCTGATAGCAGACTAAAACCTTCAGTTTGTACCTTGGCCTTCATGACTGTGATGTCCTTTATGCTCTGGACAGATGGACAGTAACACATCAGTAAGTACTGCAGTTCCTGCTAACCAAGCTGCTCCAAGGGTAACACTAAAAAGAAGGGGACATCACATATGCAAGATCACTGGTTCCTTCCACTAAGTGGAAATGACACCAAGCACACGTCCCTGTTTCCGAATGAAGAGACTCTTGTCCCCAGCCACATTACAGCACTGGTCTAATCCAAAATTTTTCAACTCCTAACTGTAGCACTTCCTCCTAAATGCTGCCCCTCAGGCTTGGGAGGATCTGCTCAAAACCTGCAAAATCCTTTCACTTCCTCTGAGCCCTCCAAAGCATGTGTAACTGCATCTGTATGAATCCAGCCTAAGCTGCCAGTGCTTGGAGATCAATGCCTTTTAAAACTGAAGTCATCTTTTCCTACGTTTCTTTGTACCTCCTAGTTGCTTATACTTGCTTCACAGTGATTTTTAAAAAATATTTTGGGCAAGAATTGTTATTCTGCATGTTTTATGCAGAAACATGGTTTACCATTTGGTTTGGTAGCATATCACAAAGAAATCCTTTTCTGCACCAAAGTTTTCCAACAATTAACACACAGATGATTAAAATTTCTTCGCAGACCACTGTTTCTACTGAGATATTGGATCCAATGAAAACATTCTGTTAATTAATACTCTGAACACACCAAAATAAACTCAATTCCCCTGGATTCAACTCAATTTGATCACTAGGAGATCTAACAAACCAAGAATTCAAACACTGTAATCACAGGAATCTTATTTCCACCAACACAAACACAGCCCACATGGAAACTTTCACCAGATTGCTAAATACTGGTTGCTTATGGCTGCTACAGTTCCCATTCTACACCAGAGTGTTACTCCCCTCCTCTTGAAATTGCTAATCATCAGTTTATTAATTAATACAAGCAACTTGCTTTGCTTATCTTAAAAGACAGATGATAATACAGCCATGTATACAATTTATAAATCAAGTCACTTATGGATGAAAGGTCTAGACAAAATGACAGAAAATTCAGCATTTCAGTATCTTCACTCTGGTCTCCCCAGCAGCCTAGAAGTCTCATCAGAAAGGAGGATGTAATTTTTTCTAATTAGTAAGGGTCTTAAGTCACAAAAACAATATACACTTGAGAATCGGTGCTTTCACTAAGAAATACTCTTACTCAATATGTCAAGTGTCTTGTGAAACATCTCTTGTAGACAGCATTCTCAACTCCCTTTCTCCCATAAGGCAGCTGCTCTGTACAGTCAGCATGAAACAACAGCAGCCAGACCCCTACAAAACATCCCAGAAAGCCAGAACAAAGTTATAGTCCCCAAGTGCAACTACAAGCATTTATGTCCCCACAGACCATTTCTTCACTGTGGATAAAATACCTGGTGGAGAAACCTTCACTTTCCTGCCTTAAGAGACAGCAGACATGCCAAAACTCGCTGCTCTGAAACTGCACGAGATCTGTTAAAGCACCCAGATGCTGGACAGAATTTCCACACAAAGAATTCCTTGACATCATGTAGCCTTAACAGAAAAGTAGGAACCACACCAGCAGTTCCACTCGGGGCAAACCATGGTGTAAGGACGACAACACACGAGTATTAAGAAGCCACATGTGTCCACCCACCTCCTGCTGTCCCTGCAGCCCCCTGTCACCATGACCCTGATGTCTGCACTCCATACATTTACACAGAGCAACGCCAGCTACAGAAATGTACAGTCACACCAACCAATCTTGACATCTAAGTTTCAAAGCAACAAAAACTAAATTCCATTGCCTCAAAGGAGGATAGAAGAGTTCAATTTCACTCTCAAATGCCAATTCACCAGAACAGCTTTTAGCTGCTGCCACAGCTTGCCCCAGGTTGCCAATCTTGTCAAGTAATGCAGGCTGCTGGAGGAAAGAGCTCTTCCTGTCTCCAGTAACACAGCCGGTCCTGCAGCATCCTGCAGCTCCAGGAATCAGAAAGCACAGCTGTGACACCCAGCCCATGAACACCTACCACCTTCCTGTTATGTCACCATGCTGCTGGAAACCTTCATCCCCCAAGCACAGACAAGCATCTGCTAATGCAACATTCACTTTCTCCTGGCTTTTTTGCACATTCAGCCAAGTTCTTCCTGATTCAACAATAAGGGAAAAAATAGCATCTTGTCACCCCAAGTGAAAGGAAAGCAGTTTCACTGAGAAGTCTTGAGCAGGCTGTGGCTAAGCTGTCAAAGCAGACAATAACATCCATGTATCTCAGCCCTCCATGCACCTACTCTGACAGGACTTAAAGACAAGTCTCCAGAGTCACCAAACTTCTCCTCCCACATGACAGAGTCAGTTTTTGGCATATTCTCCTCTATAGGATGCAGAACTGCTCATTGCTCTGCCAAGGAGCAGCAAAAGACTATGCTGAGATTTACTTTTAAAGCCCATGCTTCAACCAGAAATGAAGAACAAGCATGAGAAAGAGCAAAAAATGCCTGAGCTCCCCTGACAGACAGGCCACAGATTTCTTGTTCAGTCCTGAGGAAATAATTTCTTGCTGTATCACACTCTCAATTCTCTCATCTCATAAAACAGAGATGCTTGTAAAGGTGCTGAGAACTACAAACAAATAAGCAGTGTAGCTGCACAGCTTCATGCTCCTATTACAGTATCAGTCATATGTCAGGTTTGGGCAGATACTTAGTCTTGAGGCAAGTAACTTCTAGTTACTTCTAGTACTTTTCCCTGGGGATCACAAAGCAACATTTCCCTCCCTGTACTGCAGGCTGGGGCACCAATCAGCAGCTCAGGTACTTTCCAAACCACACATCACGTTTTTCTGCTCAACAGCCCTGAAGTGGTTTTCCTCCCATGCCCAAGTAAATTTACAAGTGTTCCAACCCAAGTAAACAGTTTTTGTTGACAAAGCCAAACCAGAAGAGTGGAGATCCCAAAGGGGGCAAGTTAAGTAAAGCTGTTCAAAGTGCAAAGGGTAACTGAACAGTTGATGGCAGCTGTTCTACCTCTAATCTTGCAATACAAACAGAGTCACTAACAGACACAGCACATTATTTTTTGGGCACAAGGAAAGACACCAGAAAATGGAAACTGAGATCACAGAAAGGCAGAAAAGACAGAAAAGTCTCCTTGAAATACACCAGGTTTTCCCCACAAATAGGGAATGAAACTTACTTAACTGAAGATCTGAGAGAAGCTGGGTATAGACATCTCAACACATGGCAGAAAGAATAAAAAAAGCATCCCACCATCACAAGCATTTCCTAAAATTGCTACAGCAATCCACTAAAACTGTCACAACTACTAAGGAAATGAGAGTACTAAGGATCAGAAGTTGTAGACAAAAAAATAGAACCAAACAACAGCAAAACCCAAACCCATGGAGTGGACAGTAGAGACTGACATATTGCTGGCTGGAACAAAAGCTTCCCTCCAGGCTTTTTTCTTTTTTTTGTTATTAATACTATCTCAAATGAAACTATGCTAAAAATACCAATCAAGCTGCCAACTGCTGATGGCATGCAGCATCTTTTTGACAAAATCTATCATTAGCAGCATGGGAACTACCAATTTCCAAAACAAACTAGGCAGCAGAATTTAGGATGTGGATACACGAATTTCATGAGCAGATACAGTGCAAAGCCTACATTTCAGATACAGGAACCAGCCCTTTTTCAGTCATCAATCCACAAAGCTGCAACCAACTCTATATATACCAAGAAATATCTGCAAAAGCTGCACTTTGAACCATCCACGTTATTAGTAGCATTCCATGAACAGTCACTCCCACCTGTCATCATTCCTCAACCAGATTCATGCCCACCTCTTGCCAAGTATTGGTATTTCCACCAGCCTGAAAGGCGAGCACAGGATTTTTTCCTGTATACAGAGAGACTCAATGAAAACATGTTAAATAAAATCCTACCACTTAACTGAGCAAGAAGATGGATGAAATTACATCATCCAAGTGATTACCCTCCTCAGCTAACAGGGTATTCATGCAGTCAATCTGTTGTGGTGTGACAAGAGACTTACTTCAGCACTTCAAGCAAATCCAAAGCCCTTGGAGGACCAGATTCCTTACTGATCCAGGGACTGCTGAACACCTGCAGCCAGCTCTGGCACCAAGCTTGCAGCAATCTCACCTCCTTGCTAACTGAATTGCTGAGCAAACTCGTAACCAGCTATAACCTGCAGCAGCACAACCACAAAACCAAAAGGAAAAGCCCATTTCAAAGCATTGTTCCACAAGAATTTGTCAGTGGTGGTGCCAATTTAAATAGCTCACATGCACTCTCAGAACAAGACGAATCTGATCAGGAACTAACCTATGTTCAAAACAGCCCTTTCACCATTTTGGTTTTCTTTCAAACCAGACCAACACCCTAGCCCAGTCCACTGTGTATTGTTTTGTACAACTGAGGAAGGTTAGGAAGCACCAAGTATGAGCTGATTCATCTGTTTTTTCCCAGGAACACTTCTTTTGTGAATCATTTATGGCCTCCTTGTAGCACACTACATCACTTTCCCAGTTTACACCTGTGGTGATTTCTAGAGTCATCCCTTGGATTGAAGCAGCGCCTTCCACCAAGCAAGATCCTGCAAAACTTTGATCTGAACACTTCAAGCCATAGAAACCAGTCAGATTTCAAAGCTCCTGCTGCACTTAAAGCTTTATTGAATTTATTACCACGAGGGAGCCCTGTTCACCACCTTTCACTTGCACATATTACAAAAAACAAGTTACTGAATAACAGGTGGCTTGCAGCCAACTCCAAATGCCTCCAGCAATGGCCATTTCACTTGGAGATGACCTGCCCTGATTTACCTCCATCTCATTATGAAAGTGCCACCACCACTGACAACTGATACACTGCCCAGAGTTTAACTTTCCCTTAAAGATCAGAATCTCAATCTAATTTGAAACAATGAAGGTAGGATATAACCAGTGTTTCTGGACAAGTTCCCTTCATTCCCCTTAACACAATGTGCATAAAGCATCAGTAAATGTACCAGTAAAACCATCAGCATTTACCATCAGTAAATGTACCACAAAGCATCTTTTTCTGCAGGGTTGGAGGAAAGAGTTCACAAGAACAACCACAGCCTTCCAGTTTTTCTTATCAACTTTAAGCCAAAACCTAGCATCAGCAGCATCAAGTAGAAAGTGCCAACTCAACAGACACATAAAAATGCAGGAGCTGAAACACAGCAGCCAAAGGGAACAATATACAAGGACTGTGGGCTAGCCCCAGCAGGCAGCTCAGCCTTGCACACCCCCTCAGTGTGAACAGGGAGAGAACTGGAAATGTAAAAGTGAAAAAACTCAAGGGGTGAGATTAAAACACTTTAATAAGGAAAGCACAAGCCACCACCCACTGCTTCCATCAGCAGCGTGTTCACCATCTCCAGGAAAGCAGGGCTCTGTCAGGTGTAACAATGACTTGGAAGACAAATTCCAAACACCCCCTTCCCCTTCCTCCTCCTTTTCCCAGCTTTTACTGCTGACCATGACTTCTGTGTTGCCCTCCCAACTCCTCATGCACCCCCAGCCCACCTGCTGTCAGGGAGGGGTGACAAACAAAAAAGGCCTTGGGGTGTGTAAGGCAATGCAAAACAAGTAATCAATGCAAAACATGGTTATCGAGGCTCTTTTCACCACATGCCCAAAATTTAGCACCATCCAAGCTATGAGGAAAATTAACTCTGTCCCAGACGAGTACAAATACCTTTATCTGATATAAACATTTTCAATTTTTTTTTTAAAGCTTATTCAGGACGAGCAACAAAATGGCTCTTTAAAGATAAAAGAGATTGGGAGGAAAAACTTTCTTTCAACTTGCTCAGCAGAAAATACTGATGTTAACCCTGCCTTAGGATGCATTGCCACATCTTTTGTGCTATGGGTACTGGTTACTGCTAAACCCTAATCTGAGTAAACACTTGCTTTTCCACATGACTGCTGACAGAGATAACAGTGAATCACTGCAGTTAGAGTTCCCCAAGTCTCTTTGCTGGCAGTAAAGCCAGTTCAGAGCTCCTTGTCCCCTCCTGGCACAGCCTTCTCTTATACAAGATATTCACATTCTCTCCATTGCCCTAATCACTTCTTGTGGGGTTCCACTAACCCAGACCACTAAAGTCATACAGACAAACAAACCACACACAACAAAAACAAAAAAGAGACAAAAGGATATATGCCATAAGGATGTAAATGTTTTCACACACAGAGCTTCCAGCTTTCTGATGTATTCCTAGGATATCCTGAGTTAGTATGCAACAGTTGAAAAAATGTATTTTGTTGCATTCAAGGCTGTTTATTTTGCTAATTACATGCAGGTGGTAGGAAGAGCAATGTATTTCATGCATGATCAAACCACATCACATCATACCACACTTGGAGAACTCCCACTACAGGTGCTAATAATAAGGTTTGGATATATGACCTGATGATGATCTATATGGCACTTCCCCAGAAGAACAGTAAGTCTTTAGAAACTACTCAGACTAAAATCTTTCAAGACAAACAGTACAAGACATCTGCCTCATAATACTAGGTTTCATTTTTATTGTCTTCCATCTCGACTCTGTATGGGACAAAGGATATCCAGCACTAGTCAGGACAAGAGGGATCCACAGACAGGCACTGGAATTGCTGTTTAATATAATCAATTTAGTTCAAATAACAGACAACACAGTCATACATGCTATTACTTACACAAGTAATTGAAAGAGACTGAGACTTTTGGATGGCTGGGGCCAAGAAGCATCTGGCCATTTAACCTAATTGTATCACCAAAACAGTAAGCTACAGACCTTTCAACATATTCAAGAACTTCTTGCTGCTGCTGCAAGCAGGGTGAGCTGAGAGTTTATCCAGCTTTTGCCTTTGCAGAACCCACTGAGCAGTGCAGGCAAGACAGTTTTCCTACCTGCAGCATCAGTGGGCTGAGCTTAAAAGGACTAACAGCTTCTGACGGGGGTGACTACAGGAATCCTGACTAAACCTGGCACAAGCACGAAGTGAGCATTGCAACCCTAACTTACACTGTTATTTTCAAGAAACATTTCGAGCAGCAACTGAAATGGACTGGTGAGCTCAAAGCAGTTAACAGGCACTTGAGCTATTTACCATCTCAATAGCTGCTTGTTAGTGACCCATGTGTATGTGCCCACGTGCACTTGTATGAGTGTGTACAAAAGGGGTAGTAGGAGAAAATAAATTTCAAAAAACATCAAGCTTTGTTGGTATCAAAAAGAATAAGAAAAAAATCATCATTATTCTTTCCAGTAATATCTAAAGATTTTTTGAGACTATCAGGAGTAATCAGGCACCACTCTCATGTCAAACACAGGCAGGATACCACTTTAAGTCATAATTACATGGCTTACAAATGCACAATTGCAAAATAATCCATTTTCTTGGTACTCTTGGCTGCTTGTTCCAGCTCACTCATGCACAGAAAGAGATTATACTTAGATTAACTACTTATGCTACAAAATGTCCCCAGAATCACAGACAGCACATTTGACAATGATCCTCCATTCTTACAAGTAAATGAAGCAACAGGGTTTTCAGATGACTGAGCATAAAGAAGCAAGATGAACTCCTAACCACACATGCAGGGGCACATATGAAAATAAGCCTGGAACTGTGTTATCTTGTGCTTAGCTGTGAAACAACCAGGCTTGGCAGAGCAGGATGTGGTGTTTGACGGGGCCTGCACAGCACCTTAAGCAATATTTCTGTCCTATTTCTGCAGGTTATTGGCCGCAGGAGCAGACCTGCCATGGAGCATATGAAGAGGCAGAAAAGCAGGCACAAGGCACAGCAGCCACGTGTGCAGCACATCACCCAGCCACAGCCACATCTGGGCGAGGGAGCAGCTACAGCCCTCTGCAAATACCACCCCTGCCTTTGCCAAAAAAAGGCAGGTTTTGATTTCCCAACCTCTCACTAGGAGAAAATCCAGCATGAGGAAAGGGAAGAGGGTCCTTGGAAAAACATCAGGAGCCTGAATGACACAGGCAAGAAGAAACGCACAGCACTGATTACCCAGGACTCCTTAGCACCCCAAACTCAGGGGAAGGTCATCTTTTCCTTCCCATCACCAAACTCCTTTGGGTATGCAAAAGGAAGTGAAGAGCCTGCACTCTGATCACTTATTCCCATGCAGAGAGGTAAACCTTGCTTTTCACCGCAGACAGGAAGATTAAGGATGTGCAAGGAGAGAAGAAGCCAACTCGGGAATAAATTCAGACTTTCTACAATGATCTACTACTCCCACCTACCCCTAGCATTACTGTAGCTGTACCTTTTGTTGTGGTCAGGGGAAATATGCTTCCTTCTTCTTTTGCCTCCATATGTATTTCCAAAGATCTCAGTTTTACTGTAATATATGCATATTTCACCTCTACCTACTTAATCCTAAATACTAAGTCTGTCTCTGAAAATACACAGGAGGCCTTAGCAATCTCTACTTCTTTATTGCAAAATGCAATCATCTTAAACAAATGCAAACAACGCTCGTTGGGAGTAGATTTCGAAGAGGAATAATAACAGGAATTAGATATTAGGAGGAAGTTCTTCTCTGTGAGGGTAGGGAAGCACTGGAACAGGTTGACCAGGGAACTTGTGGATGCTCCATCCCTGGAAGTGTTCAAGGTCAAGCTGGATGGGGGTCTGAGCAACCTGGTCTAGTGGAAGATGTCCCTGCCCATGGCAGTGGGATTAGAACGAGATTATCTTTAAGATTTGTTCCAACCCAAACCATTTTAAAATTCTATTAAATGCATTTTAAGTTCCCTACCACTCAGGACAGTTTCTTAATAAACCTCTTCCCAGATAGACTTAATAGTTTTACACCGTTTTCCAGACATATGAACTGAGGAGGCATCAGACTTCTTAATATCTCCTACTGAAGTACTTCACGAAGTTTAACCCACTAAGCAAGTACTGCCAACCAAAAATGTCCATCATTGGATACTTGGGGTGTGCAAACTGGATACTCCCTAACTGTCCATGCCCAGCATCTACACATAGTGAGCTGGCATGTAAAATGTAGCTTTTTGAATCCAAGTGATGTGTGGAACCCTCTGCCCTGTGAGAACATAAAGCCACAGAGGAGTTAAGCATCACTCCCGCCATTCCTACCGCTCCATAGCCTTGTTCTCCTCACTGGAAATATTCCAGAACCATCTGGACGCAATCCTGTGCCATGTGCTCCGGGATGACCCTGCCCGAGCAGGGAGGTTGCACCAGATGACCCCACTGTGGTCCCTTCCAACCCGACCCGTTCTGCGATTCTGCACTTACTCTCCACCTATACGAGTCATAAACGCATCATTTGGCTGACATAATTCCCCCTCCACCCAAATACTTCACCACTGACCGAACCAAGTCATTTACCACAACCCCAGCGTCCCCATTCCCCGGTCACCCCGTGGCTCTCCCAGCGAACGCCACTCGCGTTCCCGGAGTGAGGAACCCGCGGCGGCGCTGGCTCCCAGGGCGGGCTCGATGGGCTCGGGGATCTTTTCCAAGCTAATGGATTCTGTGCAACCAGCGCTGCCCTGGCACCGCGGCACCCCCTGCCCTGCCCACGCCGGCTCCTGAGGGCTTTGTTCCCGGCACACCGACCCTTCTCCCGGTGAGGACGGGGGTCCTCGGCCGCCGACAACCCGGCTCCGAACCGGCTGGGCAGCAAGCGGCAGAGCCGTGCTCGCGGAAACGCCCTCCGCCT